AGCTACAATAGGCTAGGTTTATTTAACATGTAGTAAGAAATATTACAGAAATTGAGTAAAGTGTATAAATAAAACTGCATAGTCTTCACTGTATCAATCAAACATGATTAACATTAATAATCACAGACAGCAGCAGGTAAATAAGGCTGCTGTCCCTTTAAGACCAACTACACAGATCCAATATACTGAAACTGGTTTTCACACAACTTTTTTACATTTATTTAACATATAAACGACTGTGTTTACTTGAATACTCCACACGACGGGTTTTATGACAACTGTGTGCGTATTTGACCATTCAAGCACAATAAAACACGAAAGAGATCCGTTTTCGTGATTGCATGCTGTCTGAGAGAGGCGCTTTCTGAGTGTGTGTCAGTCAGCGAGAGCACCGCATTGAGTTCTTTTTCACTGCTTATGGACCCTTTTCACAAGACTGTGATGACGCGTTTAACGGACATCAGCATCGTAAATCCTCGAAGGTTTTTCTATATTTGTATTTTTTTTTTTAAATGTATGTACATTTATAACACTATTCTTTGTATTATATCACCTTTGCATCAAATGACAAAAAAACAGTTAACGCTAATGCGAGGGTGTTTCTAATGCAGCGTCTATGGGAGGGACGGTAAATTTGACATCGTTCTCTTTTCTGACTGCCGTTATCAGTCTCTCTCAATTTTTTTCCTTTTATTGAAAGTCACGAAAACACTATCGTGGAGTTTTTCTTTTGTTATTTAAGCAAATGGGAATGCAAAAAATATATTTGTGGTACTCTCCCATTCACTGCTCTTCAAGTTAACCCAACTATCACGACTTCCGCTACTGTGAAACCCAGAAATGTGAAAAGGGTCCATTACACTTAACTCTACCATGTGCGTCTCTCTTTTTCTCATTCGTGCATGTTTCCTTAGCACTCAAAGGTGTATAATGTTTAATCAGTAAGATATATTTGCATACCGCAGAATACACGATATAGCAAAATCTCTAACAATAGACACTTTATTTCGCAGTAATGATATATACGATCATACCGCCCAGCCCTAATATACACAGAAATAGACATAATGTTTATGTACAGTTGTGGTATATATCCTAGATGGAATGGAATAGAATTTACAAGCAATGGAGTAATATGTAGGGTACTATTAAGTAAATAAAATTGGTATTGCAAATCTTTTTATTGAACAGTAGGGGAGAACATTTTACTGTTCATGAGGTAGATTGCCTGGAGAAAGAAACTTTTCTTGTGTCTGGCAGTCCTGGTGTTCGGTGCTCTGTAGTGCCGGCCAGACAGTAAGAGTTCAAAAAGGAGATGGTTTGGATGTGAGGGATCCAGAGTGATTTTCTGAGCCAATTTCCTCACTCTGGATGTATACAGGTCTTGAAGGGTGGGCTGGGCAGCACAAATAATCCTTTCAGCAGTCCGAACCTTCCTCTGTAGCCTTCTGATATCTGATTTGGTAGCTAAGCCAAACCAGACAGTTATTGAAGTGCACAGGACAGACTCAGTGACGGCTGAGTAGAACTGTTTCAGCAGCTCCTGTGGCAGGTTGAACTTCCTCAGCTGGCGAAGGAAATGCAATCTCTGTTGGGCCTTTTTAACAATGGAGTCAATGTGATTGTCCCACTTCAGGTCCTGAGAGATGATGGTGCCCAGGAACCTGAATGACTCTACTGCAGCCACAGTGCTGTTCATGATGGTGAGTGGGGGGAGTGCTGGGGGGGTTTCTCCTAAAGTCCACTATCATCTCCACTATTTTGAGCATATTCAGCTCCAGGTTGTTAAGACTGCTCCAGACATCCAGTTGCTCAACCAAGCTTCTATATGCAGAGTCATCATCATCCTGGATGAGGCTGATGACTGTAGTGTCGTCTGCAAACTCCAGGAGCTTAACAGAGGGGGCAGTAGAGGTGCAGTTGTTGGTGTACAGGGAGAAAAGCAGTGGGGAGAGCACACATCCCTGAGGAGCACCAGTGCTGATGGTGCAGTTGTTTGACATGAATTTCCCCAGTCTCACTAGCTGTTGCCTATCTGTCAAGAAGGTGGTGATCCATTGACAGATAGAGCTAGGAACAGAGAGCTGGGTTAGTTTGGTCTCTAGGAGTGCTGGGATAATTGTATTGAAAGCCGAACTGAAGTTCACAAACAGGATCCTCACATAAGTCTCTGGTTTGTCCAGATGTTGTAGGATATAATGCAGCCCCATGTTGACTGCATCATCCACTGACCTCTTTGCTTGATAAGCAAACTGCAGGGGGTCCAGTAAGGGTCCAATGATGTCCTTCAGATAGGCCAACACCAGTCTTTCAAACGACTTCATGACCACAGATGTTAGGGCCACAGGTCATCAAGTCCTGTGTTTTTGGGTTTCTTTGGGATGGGCATGATGGTGGAGTGTTTGAAGCAGGAATGGACTTTGCACAGCTCCAGAGATCTGTTGAAGATCTGTGAAAAGATGTGGGCCAGCTGGTCAGCACAGGTTTTCAGACAGGCTGGTGAAACACCGTCTGGGCCTGGTGCTTGTCTTTCCTGAAGACCTGACGCACATCATCTTCACTGATCTGAAGTGCAGGATGAGGGGAGAGGGGGGTTGCTGAAGGTGTTAATGTTTGTGTAGAGAGTTGGTCAGGGCGGGTGTGGGGTGTGAGACCGGGAGTTTCAAATCTGCAGTAAATCTCATTCAGGTCTTCAGCAAATTGTTGATACGCCTCAGAGCTGGGGGATGGTGTCTTGTAGTTTGTGATGTCTTTCAGGCCTTTCCACACTGAAGCAGGGTCGTTTGCTGAAAACTGCCAGTGTGTTTCTGGCCTGATTGTATAAGATTCTGTCCCCACTCCTGTAGGGTCCTCTTTGGCCTGGCGAAGCTGTCTGATTTTTTTCTGGGAACCATGGTTTGTCATTGTTGTATGTTAAATGAGTCCTGGTAGGAATGCACATAACCTCACAGAAACTGATGTAGGATGTCACGGTGTCAGTGAGCTCATCCAGATCAGTGGCTGCAGCTTTAAAAACACTCCAGTCAGTGCAGTTGAAGCAGGCTTGTAAATCCCGCTCTACTTCATTAGTCCATCTTTTTACAGTCCTTATTACAGGTTTAGCTGATTTCAGCTTCTGCCTGTAGGTCGGTATAAGATTAACCAAACAGTGATCAGAGAGCCCCAAAGCTGTCCGTGTGACAGAGTGATGTGCATCCTTTATTGTGGTGTAACAGTGGTCCAGTATATTACAGTCTCTGGTAGGACATGTAACGTGCTGTCTGTATTTTGGCAGTTCGCTGGAGAGATTTTCTTTATTAAAGTCACCAAGAATGATTATAACGAAGTCAGGGTATTGTTGTTCTGTGTCTGTGATCTCATCAGCTCGCTGTTGTAATGCTGTGTTCACGCTTGCAAAGTCAAATGATTTAAGCAGGTCTGACAGCAGAATGTGTAGCCATGTGTGTAATATAATGCGTAGCTGACTAGCATGCTGCACAAATTTAGAAATGTGACTTGTTAGTTTAATGTTGTTGATCAGATGCTATGTTAATTGCCCTTTACTTATGAAAACTACTTTGAAACTAGCTTAGCTTGCCAAGCTACTCATAATTTGAAGTATTTTTTTTTTGCTTGTTAAACATTTTTTATCAAAAAAATTATATTTAAATGTATTCAAATAATTAGGCATTGAACTGCCCACTAATTATCAGATTTTGATAAATAAATAAATACAATTAAATAAATAAATGTATGCATTTATCCAAAGCGACTTACAGTGCATTCATGCTATACATTTTTTACCAGTATGTGTGTTCCCTTGGAATTGGAATCTAAAACACTGTAATATTCATTTGTATTTAACCAGCAATTTTTCAACCCAGATATCACTTGGTGAAAGCATGACATGAATTACCCTGCTGCTTCACTTGCACAATGCTGATGCTTGTGGAGTCAAACAGGCCTGACTCTGCATCCTGACAAGTCCGTTTTCAGCGTCAAGTAAAATGCTACGTGAAGCAATAAAATAACAGCTTATTCGACTGTACAGTATGTTTTGTTTAATATACAGATATGTAGAATGAGATTTGGACCAATAAGACCTTCTACTTTCAGCCAAAAGTCCTAATATGGAACAGATTTATTTCTTGGCGCTTTATCATGCCTCACATGGTTGGGACACAGCTAAAGGCAGTCAGCTGTCTTAAACCTCATTATACGTTAGCTTGCATGTGTCTCTCATTAGGCTGGCTGAAAAAGAGATAAAGAGGAAGAGTCTAGAAGATTCTCTTAATGCTGAGAGGAGCAGCAGTGCTGGCAGGGAGATAAAAATGCAGGCAAGTGTCACCACCCTCGTTCCAGCTTACACCAGTTAAACTGAAGTGTGAGTTCCGCTGTGTAATGATCACACGGCTCTCTCTGCCCTCTGCAGGCCATACACAATGAGAACCTGACAGTGAAGACTGATGTCCAGAATCTGCAGGCACAGATTTCTGAGCAGGTTAGACTTCAGTTGCTTTTCTTTCCACTAATCCATTAATGCACGTTCACACTAACGCACACCACTGTCATGTCTTCTCTTTCTCCAGGCTGTATCTATGGAGCAACTTAAGCAAAGGTGAGTGCATTGAAATTGGTTAGAATTATAAGCAAAACACTAGTGCTACGCTGATATTAAAAGTCAGGCCAATACGATAACCCAATTATTTTCATGTTAGATAAATATTAAAAATGTTAATGTCAATGTCTACATATAAAAAAATTTCTAAAATATGCAAGTTAAATTAAACATTTTTCCTACTATTTTCAAGGTATGACCAGTATTATAAATTATTAACAATAATATTTACAAGAAGAATTCTTGCGAAACGAATAATGAATGAAACCCCAAAATAGTAAATTAAAATTAGACAATAGTTTTATAAATTACCAATTATATTTTATGGCCAATATTAAAAATCTGTATCAATAATATTCAAATATTAGCATAAAAGTTAGCTAAACTTAAACAATAGTTTAAAATTTTTTCAGATTTACAGCATCATAAAACATGTATTTAAAACAGAAACAATACATTTTGATCTCAAATAAATAAACAAATTTGAAATATTAAGTTTTAAAAAATTGAATAGATTATAATGTATACAAGTTTGTCTGTGTGCATTATTAGAAGTGTATCTAAACTAAAAGACAATATAGTATGCAATATGAAAGTTAGCATTTTAGTTTAGATTGGATTTTAGTTTAGACACGCTTGTGAAATTAACGAGATTCCTAATCAAACAAAGTATAATTTAGAGATATAATTTTGCATTTCTTAGTAACATTTGGCAAGTTTGTAATGAATTGAACTGTTTTTATTAATGAACAATCACAGCTCTAATTTTAGTCTGAAAGGACTCAAATTTAAGTTCCTCCAACCAGGAATTTTTCATTATAAATGCAGTGACGTGTATTGTTTATTAAAGATCCGTAATAAATGGGTGTTGTATTGTGTTCTTAGCCTCCAGCAACGTGATGAGAAGGTTAGAATGGTGGAGAACTTGCTGGAGTCCAGCCTCATTCAGGTGGCCAATAAAGAAGACGAACTGAAGGTGAATAAGGAAGTCTTTATGAAGTTTTTAATATTTGTTAATTCCTAATTTATATACATGTATGTGTATGTGTATATATAAATATATATAATATTTATAAACTAGCTAAAGCACCATGAATGCTCTTACGACAGCAGTTAAATAATCTTTTCTCTTTTTTTTTTTTTAACAGGCAATCAAAAATGAGTATGAAGATTTGAAACAGCAACTGGAGTTAGTACAGAAACATACTACAGAGCAGGTAGCGAGTACCATTACCACACACAGGCATTGTTTGTGGAGGAGAGAGAGAGATATTGTGATTAATGCCTGCCAAAGCTGCCCGCTTACATTCGTTCTGTTTCTTTCCAACACATCTTTCCAGACAATGTCAGAAAAGACGCTAGAAGAGCTACAGCAAAAGTAAGTTACATACTCACAACCAGGGCCAGAGTGGGGCCCATTTTCAGCCTGAGAGTTTAATGCCTCCCTGTATGTTTCAACAAGAACATATAGAAAAATAACTAATGACATACTAAACTCCTTAAGCAAACATTCTGCATTAAGCACAGCTGAAAACATCACCACATACAAATTAAAATGAATATCAGACAGCAGTATGGATTGGGCTGTTCTATGAAATATGACACCACTGTATTTGTAAGGTGGGATTGTTTGACGGGTAGGAGCAGAGGTTGCGTTACACATAATATTTAATCATTTACTGACTTTTTTTTAAAGGGGTTCTATTATGCTTTTTCACTTTTTCAACTGAAGTTAGTCTGTAATGTTGCTGTTTGAGCATAAAACAGATCTGCAAAGTTACAAAGCTCAAAGTCCACTTCAAAAGGAGATATTTTATTTAACAGAAATCACTTTAAAAACTACAACGAATGACTCATTTGGACTACAACGCATATTTTCCGGGATTTGTGATGTCACAAATAATCGACGAATGGGACCTGGTTGAGCTGCACTAGAGAATATAATGTAAAATATGTGAAAAATAATGTGTTTTTCGAACAACCTAGTATGAGAGCCTGTTCTAGTACACCCCCAAAACAAAATCAATACTTTGTAAAAGAGCATAATAGGACCCCTTTAAAAACACTAACGGATAAGTACATGTTTTCCCCCATCATTTTGACTGAAAAAAAATAAAACAAGAAAGTGCATTTAAACCTAGCGCCTAAACTTTCATTTAACTACAGTTATCTGTACTTTACATCGTACATGTGACTATGTGGATTCACTCTTTCTCTGTTGGTGTGTGTGAGAGAAAGTGTGTGCACTCTCTGCCAAGTGACACGACACTTTAATACATAATGAACGTAACTGATGTGCTGCTTTAAATACAAAGTTAAGATGTGTGATTAGTTACATTTTAGTTATCAGTCACACAGTAATTTAACACATGCTCTTTCCGTGTGTGCGTGCATGCGTGTGTGCGTGTGTGTGTGAAATATGGAGAGAAAGTGGGGAAGAAGCTGGGGATTTATATCCACCATATAATATTTAAAAACTGCCACAAAGAGATGTGCAGAGAGCCTGTTCTAGTACACCCCCAAAACAAAATCAATACTTTGTAAAAGAGCATAATAGGACCCCTTTAAAAACACTAACGGATAAGTACATGTTTTCCCCCATCATTTTGACTGAAAAAAAATAAAACAAGAAAGTGCATTTAAACCTAGTGCCTAAACTTTCATTTAACTACAGTTATCTGTACTTTACATCGTACATGTGACTATGTGGATTCACTCTTTCTCTGTTGGTGTGTGTGAGAGAAAGTGTGTGCACTCTCTGCCAAGTGACACGACACTTTAATACATAATGAACGTAACTGATGTGCTGCTTTAAATACAAAGTTAAGATGTGTGATTAGTTACATTTTAGTTATCAGTCACACAGTAATTTAACACATGCTCTTTCCGTGTGTGCGTGTGTGCGTGTGTGTGTGAAATATGGAGAGAAAGTGGGGAAGAAGCTGGGGATTTATATCCACCATATAATATTTAAAAACTGCCACAAAGAGATGTGCACACGCAAAGCAGCGGGATGTATGCTTCTACATCTAAAATCCCGCTGTTTGCGCGTACACATTTTCCACGTCCCATGTGAAACTGGCTTTGTGTAAGTGGTGCTGCTGGCTCAATTTAGGAGCGGCCCACTGGGATTTCTCCCGATTCTCAGAATGGCCACTCCAGGCCTGGTCACAACTAGACATGTGCCGTTATTCGGTAATGCGATGTATCACGATAATGAATATGCACGATATTGTTATCGCGGGCACTTCAAAATACAGAAAATAATTATTTATAATAAATTATTCAGAATTTTGAATGCACTTTAAGAATACTTTTCCCATCAACTGGTCACAATGCACAACACGGTTGTGGCTAGAAGGGATACATCAAAAACCGGAAGCTAACAATAAATTTAATTTTCTACCTATTAGATTGTGTTTTATTAACGTCTACACCTACCCCTTACAGTAATGCAAAAATAGTAATTGTTGTACAGTGTGAGAAAAATTACGCTATATTGATATGCGCATGCCCAGTAGTTTTTGCTGTATGCCATGCTACGTCAAAGACGCGTGCGCACTCTGATGTAAACAAGCACGGATGATAGAGCGCGTGAGAGACGCTCTGGATGAAAGCACATTCACTCTCCTGACAGCAGATGGCGCTAAACATAATGCAGCTGTTACCCCGGAAACAGTGTTTAAATGATTTAAATAGCCATTCAGATTTTTGTATTCACTATGGTGTTCATCACCGTGCCAAATACGTAAATATTTAGACTATTTATTTTCAAACTTGTCCTAGATATTGTTTGAAAGCGTTTTGATTCTTTATTGTTCGGTCAAACTTTACGTTAGAGCTTCATTAGTTAACATTAGTTAATTCATTAGTTAACATAAACTGCCCATGAAAAATTCTTCTAAACATTCATTCATTTTAGGTAATTCCAATATTTAATAACACATTCTTAAAATCAAAAGTTGCTATTGTTATTTAATGAGCTAACATGAACTACGGATTGTATTTTTTTTTTTTTTACAAAGATTAATAACTTCTGTAGCAAGTGTAGCTATTGCTCATTGTGAATGTTAATGCATTAACTAAGGTTAACTAATGAGGTGTTATTGTAAAGTGATACCTGTCGGTCTTTATAATTCTTTTGCACTTTAATCGGTGTAAAATTTTTAACTTTATACAATTTTTTTTTGTGTGTTGCTTTATTGTATTTAAATGTTCAGTTATTTTTGTTATAAGAAAAAAGTGATTAAACCTGTTATACTGTATTATGACAACACTTTTTTGCAACTAAATTTCAATATCGTGATAATACCGTATACCGTGATAAAAGCATGATCAATTAATCGCAGCATGAACATTTGATACCGGCATATCCCTAGTTACAACTATAGATTATAGTTTGTCAATTTTTAGAATGCCATTTGTTATTGTTTGAAAACACACACTTAGAAATTTCTGATTTGATCAGGATTCAGGTGAAGGATGAAAAAATTCGATCAGTCGAGGGAAGTTTGCAGTCAGCGATGAACAACGAATCAGAGAGAACGAAGGCAATGGAGGTAAGCGTGTTCTGTTCATTTGGACGAACAGAAGTGTCCATTTGTTCATCTGTGCTCATCTATTTGCATGACGTATTAAAGACTTATATGTGCGTGTTCATAGGATCTACAACAGCAGGTCGAGACTCTGAACACTGAACTTGCCCAGCTGAGGAGCAGAGAAACAAAGTCAAGCTCAGACTTGAACTCTAAAATCCAGGAGCTTCATGTTCAGTATGCATCACTCCTGTCACATGGCCTTTTGCTTGTCGATTAATCCCAATGGATCTTTTTTCCAATCTTTTTTTTTTCTTTTCTTTTTTGTAATGTGAAATTCATCACATTACAGAACTAAAAAAATTGCAATGTTTTGTTGTGAATTGAGTGTCATGTTTTTATTTGATTACCTTTTAAAGGAACAATTTAACTAAGTGTTATGAATTGAATTATACACATTATACATTTTTGATGATACATTTGTATTAAACCACAAAATGTTAATGGTTTTTATGGGGCCTAAATTGGAGTTTACCTGTAAACAAACAATGTTATGTTTACATTCATTTTCAAGGTCTAACAAACATGTGGAATGCACTCTATTAATGGTATGAAACAAACATCTGGATTATATTACATGATATAGAACAAATTACGGTGATTTAATATGAAATGAATATCTGGAGGATATTGAATGTTGTAGAAAAAAATGACTGTGTGTGATTTAATATTTTTTTAGCCATATCACCCAGCCCTTCCCAAAGTTCTCATATTTGGTTCCATAAGCCAGTTCCTAAAATTGAGTTTCATTTCTGAAAGCATAATTTAAGTGATATTTGAGAATATTCCATTTACAAAACCTGAAGTTGTGCCGCCAATTATAGCTTTTACCAAATTGTATATGTTTTCTCTAGTCTTTTGGCCACAAATTGACACCATACAGTTATTATATTGTACAAGATTCTTTTGGAGCTTCCCAGACAAAACTAATATTGAGTTGTACAGATCAATAATGCATGTGTGTATATCTTAGGTTAACGGCCAAGGATCAGGATGTTGAGAGGCTGCAGAGAGAACTGGAGAAGGAAATTCAACAACAGCAGGTGAGTGCTGAGAAATTCATATCAGATGCAGCGAGCAACTACAACAAACTATTCATGTAAAGCTTCATATTTACTTCAGGTAAATGTGTCGACATTGTGACATTCAGTTTGTATTTTGCATTGATATAATCATTTGTGTGTCTCTTTTCCCCCCCAAAGCAAACCGTTTCAGCAGTTCCCAGCCAGGAATTAACAGCGTAAGATTCATGTTCTTTTAGTTAGGATATATGTTGATGATCGCAAACATGTTCCAGTATAATAAAGGCTTATCACACTGACATAATACACGCATTCTGCTCTGTGTCTGTCTTCAGGCTGGCAGAGAAGAACAAGCAGCTATCTGACCTTCAGGAAGAGCTGCTCGAGTTGAGGGAGTCTGTGGAGCTTCATCGTAAGAAGAACAACGTAAGTCTTGAGCAGCTCTCTTCCCGTAGAAGGAGGAGGACTAGCCAAGCTTTAGCTTTTCTAGCTTAATGCACATGCTAATGAGCATGTAAAGCAGGTGACTCTGAATTTGAATGGCAGCTCTAAAGACTTGACCAGATGCTGTGCATCCCAGAACCTTTGAGAAATGCATTTCTTCCAAATGTTGTGGGAACTTTTAAGTGTTAGTGATAATTATTAACTGCATATGTCCATGAAAATACATACAATGCACTCAAATGAGATTGTAATGTCAATGACCTAGAAAAAGCTTTTTTTCTACATAGTGGTGGTCTCCCCTCGTGGAGGCAGCCATTCTTAGTTAACATGGATCATCATAAAATGTATCATGCTGATTGGTAATTCCTAAAATGGTAACGTTTGCTTTTTCTACATCCACACTGATGATAGGTGTCAGTATAAAGTCTGAGATCACTGTCGTATCACACAAACAGAACCAGAAAAAGTTTGGTCATTGTTAGGGAATTTAAACTCCATGAACATGTCTAAACTTTTAAAAAAATTTATAAACCTACATTATTTTGTGTATCCTTAATGTCGGTGTAAAACAATGATACATGGAAATACCCAGGTTGTGCTTTGGGCTGTATACATGGTTCTATAAATGGCAAAATGAATGGGACAATCGTTTGTTTGGCAAGAGTGTAGGCTGAACTGAAAGTGGTGTTTCTCTGAAACTGACTAGGAGCTCCGGGAGAAAAACTGGAGCGCTATGGAGGCGCTGTCAGCCACCGAGACCATACTTCAGGGAAAACTCGCCAAGAGCGCCAAGGTTCGCACCACAACTCCCAAACTACTTCACTCTAGAGTCAAATCAAAGCATCTCCAATAAGCCTCTGCCATTTATTGACCAGTGAAGTTCTCATTCTTTATTAACGTCCTCATGAATGGCTGCATACTCATTTTATAACTCTGAACTGCTCAGCTGCATGCTACTAATGCACTATGTTGAATGCTGAGCTGTAAAAAGCTGCAAACTTGCGAATGTGCTTTGAAATTTGGGCTGAATCTTGTCGTTTGTTTTTAAATTCTCCTTTGTGTTTAAAAAAAAAAGTTTTAAACAAGACACCTGAAATGAGTGTGCAGCTATTTTTTTATCCTTATTTTTTATTTTTTTATTAGATTAAGAATCATTTCATGCCCATTGTGTCATTTGACCTCCCCTGATTTCCTCTTTCCCAGCATGCTGATCACCACCCGATTTCCACTATTCTGTCAGCACCAATTTCAATCTTATTACAATCATTCCAAATAACGTTTTATGCTATAAAACGGCAAATCGGGTAGAAAATGAACAAATCCAAAGAGTGATTTTTTTTTTTTTTTTGAAGATGTACGTCTTATTCTCTGATTGCATCCATCCCGTGTTTCCCTTTCCCAACACATTTTAAGGTCTCACCATCTCTCTCCTCCTGCCAGGTGTGTAGACCTGTCAGTAACCAGAAACTCCTGCCCCTTCGTGGGCTTGAGCGGTCATCTAAATGTAGCGAGGCATAGAGTAACCAGTGACTATAAACGGTCCTGAAGCTATAACTAACCCTGCTTACATCATGAGTAATTCTGCTGTGGCTCGGCCTGCTGTCGCTAGTCGAGTGAACGGCATGCACTGTCCAGTGTGTGGACATCTGTTCTCAGTCATCTCCAGCTGTACGAATCCCAGCCCTGCACCTGCTGGACAAACTCCGCATTCGCCAGATTTCAGTTATGATCTTTTCGTACTCTTTTGTGGGTCTGTTCAATTCAGTTAAATACGTTAAAAAAAAGGGTTTTGTTATTTGGCCTTTAAATCAAAATGAAATCAAAATTGACCCAGTTTAGTTTATTGCTCCGTTATATATCAAAAATGTGATACCTTGGTTAGTATTTTTCTAGCGCATTTTTATTTGATCTGGATCCGTTCTGGTGTGTAACACTGACTAATCACAATCCAGTCAGTTCCCAATGGATATAAACTTCTACTCTTTTCTGATTAAAGGGTTAATCCATCCAAAAATGAAATTTGGCATAATTTACTCATGTCAACCTTTATGACTTTCTTTTGTGGAACATAAAAGGTGTTTTGAGAAATAAACTGGTTACCAAGAGTCATCAACATATCTACTTTTTTGTTCTGCAGAAGAATGAACAACATGAGGGTAAATAAATTATGGCAATTTTCATTTTTTTCATATCCTGTTTTACTTGACTACTTAAAGTCTACGATTATTTTCTTGTAAAATATCCCATTTCATTGGAAATGCAGCACACTATTGAAGTAAATGCGTCAGTGTATTATGGTGACTTTAAAGGCTAGTGATTTTTGGAAATGTCTAGATGAAGTAGAATTGTATTTATTTTTATTCATTTATTTATCTTTGCTTTTTTTGGCTTCTTTTTAAAGATACGGTGTTTTACAATTGTTTTAAAACAATTTTCTTTTCGAGCTGATTCAGTGCTGGGTTTTAGATGTTTTCATGTTTGTACGTGTTGATAAGAGTAGAGGTTAAAAGTGTTGTAGTGAAAAAGTATAACATTTTTTTTATTTGTTTGTTGTATTTTACAGTGATTTCTCAAAATTCACAGACCCATAAGATTAACTTAACTCGGTCTGGGATTTGTTGATAAGAGTAGAGGTTAAAAGTGTTGTAGTGAAAAAGTATAACATTTTTTTTATTTGTTTGTTGTATTTTACAGTGATTCTCAAAATTCACAGACCCATAAGATTAACTTAACTCGGTCTGGGATTGATGCTGAATGTTGATGTCCAGGACTAAACAGTTGTGGATCTCATTTGTATGCATATATGCGATAATTATTACATCAGAGTTTATGACTTATGATGAGAATGAGTGAAATTTCTTAAAACATTTTTATAGGGGTATCTGTCACTTTTTGGTGGGGAGCACCAGTGGCTTGATAGAGATCTAGGCACAGTTTTTGTGGTGTGAATTACGGAGTGGTTTTTAACTGACCCGTGAAGTGTAATTTGAGCACCTTTTAAGCAGTTTGATTGATGGGAGTGTTTGATCTGTGTTTTTCCACAGGAGCATCAGACAGTGCTGGAGTCAGCGGAGACCGAATGCCGAGCATTGCTGCACAGACTCCTGCCGCACGTGCCGCTGCCCACCGACCAGGTGCACAATATACACACATACACACACATGCAAAGCAAAAAAGAAATTGTAACCAAAGTTGTGCAAGGAAAGCACAGGTAATTTATTTCACATCCCTATCCTAACATACTGAAACAGGATTCATATCTGTGCAGAAATGTGCATTGCGTTTACAGTGCATTTCAGTGCCCTGTGCATGATTGCAGAATCCTCTAATGTACATTTACATTCTGATTGTGCAGATCCACCAGCAGTGGCTACTGAAGTTTGAGACATCTGTGAGCGAGAGCTCGGCTGGAGAAGTGACCTCTGCTACTGCTTCAGGAGCTGGAGATGCCCAGGTACAGATGCATTGTAAATCTTCCAGAGACAATATCTAATGAACCAGTTCCAGTGCTTCATGAATCAAGTGGGTGCATAAACATTCAGAAGAGTTCAAGATTCGTTTTTTTTGGGCAGGCTTTAGCAGAAAAGTTAAAGGAGGCTGAGGAGGCCCAGAAAGTTCTACAGAAAGATTGTGAGACGTACAAGAAAGTGCTAGCGGAGACGGTGAGTTGTGTTCATGGCGTCTGTCTGTGATTTTATTATTTTTTTTTTCAGATCCACCAGCAGTGGCTACTGAAGTTTGAGACATCTGTGAGCGAGAGCTCGGCTGGAGAAGTGACCTCTGCTACTGCTTCAGGAGCTGGAGATGCCCAGGTACAGATGCATTGTAAATCTTCCAGAGACAATATCTAATGAACCAGTTCCAGTGCTTCATGAATCAAGTGGGTGCATAAACATTCAGAAGAGTTCAAGATTCGTTTTTTTTTGGGCAGGCTTTAGCAGAAAAGTTAAAGGAGGCTGAGGAGGCCCAGAAAGTTCTACAGAAAGATTGTGAGACGTACAAGAAAGTGCTAGCGGAGACGGTGAGTTGTGTTCATGGCGTCTGTCTGTGATTTTTTTTTTTAAATCTAAATGTTTGACACCTGACAGTATGTTAGCAGCAGTGGGCTGAGGGGTGTGTAGTGATGGTGTTATTGATGGTGCTGGGTGCACAGGAAGGGATCCTGCAGCGGCTACAGAGCAGTGTGGAGCAGGAGGAGACGTGCTGGAGGGAGAAGTTGGAGCAGTCACAGGCTGATCTCAGAGAGGTTGGTAAAAACAAACACACTACGTTGGCTTTCCTCAAACCTACACTACTCCTTTGACATTTTAGTCAGGTTTAATGCAAAAATTATGATTAGGGTTCTTTACTAAATCCTGCAGTGCATCATTAGAGGTATTATTATAGTAAATCAGTTAATACATTCATCAGTTGATGCATTCAGTCATTGTCGGATTCATGGCATCACAATGCGTTTTGACACTATTATATGTTATTATATTATAAGTTATAGTTGTTTTTGTAATGTTTATAAGAGAAAAGTCTTATGCTCATCAAAAAAAACAGCAATATTGTGAAATTATTACAATATAAAAAAGTTTTGTATTCTAATATTATTTTAAAATATGATGGCAAAGATTAATTTTCAGCATCGTTACTCCTGTCTTTAGTGTCACAGCAGTTGTGCTGCTTAATATTTTTTGCAGAAACAGTGATAATTTTTTCTCAGATTCTTTGTATTATACAAGTTATATTTTATTATATAGTATTAGTAATACAATATCTAATAATAGTATAGTGCAATAAATGTATTAACTAATTAAGTAAATAAATAATTAGAATGTGATATACCAAAAAAAATCATCACACAAAATGGTAATGACAATTTGGGTGAAAATGTGTGTAATTTTTATGAATTAATGTGTAATGTTTTTTGGGGTTTTTTCTCTGTGACCTAGTGTTTTTGTAAGATTCATGAAGTTAGACTGCAAAGTAAAAATGTGATGCTTTTGGTGTTTAGATGACTCGGAGGGTAACTGCACTGGAACAGGAAGTGGACAGACTGAGCTCAGATGGAGATGTGGAGAGTGTGAGTTTGCTTTCAGTTTTAACCTGCTCTGAAACGCGGTACTACTTGCACCTTGAATTTGACAAACAAAATAGCTCTGAGCTGAAGAATATACCTTTGAATACTGCTTTGCAATGTATATATTGTAGTTGAGGCGAGACAAACAGCACATGGAGGCTGAACTGGAGAGAGCGGAGTGTGAGAGCGCCACCTATGTATCAGAGGTCAGAGAGGTGAGCACAAATACTAATGACATTCAGAAGCCTCACTGCATGCTTATGCTTCTCTCGTTCTGTCATATTTTAGTTTGTTGCTTGTGGTTGTGTTGTTTTTAAATGTCTAACACATTAGATTTTAGCAGATAAACTAAAATCTGTTGAAGGGTTGGCATCTACTTGTCTATCCTCAGTCCGAACTATCGCAGCTATCAATGATGGACGAATTTATGACATACTTGACGTGATCTTTCTAATGCTCTCATTAACCTGCAGATCTTTGTAGAAAGCTTTTATTGTCTGGACTGAGGATAGAACGCTCTTAAAGGAATGTTCCGGGTTCAATGCAAGTTAAGCTCTATGCTTTTACAGCACGCTGTCGATTACCAGAGAAAGAAATTTTGACTTGTTCCTTCCTTTGAAGTAGAGGGTTTAAATATTGCCACAATTACTTCCATTGTAAGCGAGTCAGAATTATTTTCTGTGGTAATCAATAATGCTCAACTTTCCTGGATGTTTCTCAGGGAACATAGAAGTGGACAGACTGAGCTCAGATGGAGATGTGGAGAGTGTGAGTTTGCTTTCAGTTTTAACCTGCTCTGAAACGCGGTACTACTTGCACCTTGAATTTGACAAACAAAATAGCTCTGAGCTGAAGAATATACCTTTGAATACTGCTTTGCAATGTATATATTGTAGTTGAGGCGAGACAAACAGCACATGGAGGCTGAACTGGAGAGAGCGGAGTGTGAGAGCGCCACCTATGTATCAGAGGTCAGAGAGGTGAGCACAAATACTAATGACATTCAGAAGCCTCACTGCATGCTTATGCTTCTCTCGTTCTGTCATATTTTAGTTTGTTGCTTGTGGTTGTGTTGTTTTTAAATGTCTAACACATTAGATTTTAGCAGCTAAACTAAAATCTGTTGAAGGGTTGGCATCTACTTGTCTATCCTCAGTCCGAACTATCGCAGCTATCAGTGATGAATGAATTTATGACATACTTGACGTGATCTTTCTAATGCTCTCATTAACCTGCAGATCTTTGTAGAAAGCTTTTATTGTCTGGACTGAGGATAGAACGCTCTTAAAGGAATGTTCCGGGTTCAATGCAAGTTAAGCTCTATGCTTTTACAGCACGCTGTCGATTACCAGAGAAAGAAATTTTGACTTGTTCCTTCCTTTGAAGTAGAGGGTTTAAATATTGCCACAATTACTTCCATTGTAAGCGAGTCAGAATTATTTTCTGTGGTAATCAATAATGCTCAACTTTCCTGGATGTTTCTCAGGGAACATAACATTTCTTCAGTAGAACATTACAAGTCTTGATCTTCCACGGACGTGTTGGAAATGACATAGGAAGTCCCTTATTTATTGTATCAAATTCAGACACTTCCTCCAAAACCACCACCCAGTTTCTCAGCCCCACTCATTCCTTAAACATCTCAAACTTCATTTCAGCTCAAAGATCTCTTGACCGAGTTGCAAAGCAAACTCGACGGCTCGTACACAAAGGCCGTCAGGCAGAATGAGGAGTTGAATTTGGTAAGACGTCCCCCTGGTTAAACTGAAGTAGCTTTCCCTTTCTCCTCTTGAGCTCACGTGGGTGAGGGCGCTCGCTTCAAGGGCCTGGACTTTTACGGCAAGGGCTTACTATCTGTTATCTCTAATTTCTGACCATTTATTCAGCTGTAAATGTGAATTCATTTTCCAATAATTACACTGTCATGCTCCAATAATGACAAAACAGCATCATAAATTGCCGTTAATTTAACAATAAATGCTGTTCTTGAGAAAAGATCAAGTCCTGATCATATGAAACATTAAAGATGACAGGTACACCTTGCCAAAGTTACGATGTGTTAATCTGTCATCTAATACCTTCCTCAGTTTACTCTGCGGTCACAGTTTGACTTACTGCCACCTTTGCTTAAAACTTGGAAATGCAGACACAAGCACACGCACATTCTTAAAGGCTCAGCTCTTGTCTGTTACACACACTACTTTTCAAAAGATTTGGGCTCATTAAGATTTTTTGTTTGGCAATTGATCAGAAGTCTCCTTTAAAGGGATAGTTCACCCAAAAATGAAAATTCTGTCATTAATTACTCACCCTCATGTCGTTCCAAACCAGTAAGACCTTTGTTCATCTTCAGAACACAAATTAAGGTATTTTTGATTAAATCTGAGAGCTTTCTGACCCTCCATAGACAGCAATGTAACTGACACATTCAAGCAGTAGCCCCTCACTGCAGAACACAAGATCCAGGGGGCGTGGTTGGATCCAGATCTAGGGGGTGGAGATTGCTAGGTTTTAGGGGTGGAGATGGGTGGGTTTAGAGATCAGGGGGTGGAGACGGGTAGGGTTAGGTATATGTAAGGTGGGAGGAGTTGGCTCTGGATCCAACCGTGCCCCCTGGATCTTGTGTTCTGCAGTGAGGACCATCTCCATTCAAGGCCCAGAAACGTAGTAAGGACTTCGTTAAAATGGTCCATACGACATCAGTGGTTCAACCGTAATGTTATGAAGCTAAGAGAATACTTTTTGTGTTCAAAGAAAACAAAAATAATGACTTTATCCAGCAGTTTCTTCTCTTCCATGTCAGTCTTCGACGCGCGTTCATGAGAGTACCACGCATGTGTGTGCATCCTCTGCTTGTAAACAAGGCTTGGCGCATCCGGGTTCGACATCAGAGCGCCGGCTACTGCGTCAGCAGCACCACCCACATGAGTCGTAAGGTGGGAGGAGTTGGCTCTGGATCCAACCGTGCCCCCTGGATCTTGTGTTCTGCAGTGAGGACCATCTCCATTCAAGGCCCAGAAACGTAGTAAGGACTTCGTTAAAATGGTCCATACGACATCAGTGGTTCAACCGTAATGTTATGAAGCTAAGAGAATACTTTTTGTGTGCAAAGAAAACAAAAATAATGACTTTATCCAGCAGTTTCTTCTCTTCCATGTCAGTCTTCGACGCGCGTTCATGAGAGTACCACGCATGTGTGTGCATCCTCTGCTTGTAAACAAGGCTTGGCGCATCCGGGTTCGACATCAGAGCGCCGGCTTCTGCGTCAGCAGCACCACCCACATGAGTCGTGGTACTGTCCTGAATGTCGGCAGAGACTGTCACAGAATAGAAGAATTGTTGGATAAAGTCATTATTTTTGTTTTCTTTGCGCACAAAATGTATTCTTGTAGCTTCATAACATTACGGTTGAACCACTGATGTCACATGGACTATTTTAACGATGTCCTTACTACATCTCTGGACCTTGAACGTGGTAGTTGCGTTGCTGTCTATGGAGGGCCAGAAAGCTCTCGGATTTCATCAAAAATACCTTTATTTGTGTTCTGAAGATGAATGAAGGTCTTACTGATTTGGGACGACATGAGGGTGAGTAATTAATGACAGAATTTTCATTTTTGGGTGAACTAGATTTACAAAAATATATATTTCAAATAAATGCTGTTCTTTTTTGCTTTCTGATTATCAAAAGAATCTTGACAAAAAATGCATGGTTTCCACAAAAATGTTAAGCAGCCCAACTGTTTGCAACATTGATAATAAAATGAAATGTTTCCTGAGCAGCAAATCGGCATATTATACTGATTTCTGAAGAATCATGTGACACTGAAGACTGGAGTAATGATGCTGAAATTTCAGCTTTACCATCACAGGAATAAATAACAATGAACAAAATATTAAAATATATTTTAAGTTGTAATGATATATTTCATCAAATCAATGATTTTACTGTATTTTTGATCAACTAAATGCAACCTGATGCATAAGACACTTCTTTCAAAGCCTTAAAATCTCTTATCAACTTTAAACTTCTGTACAGTAGTGTTTTTTATTCTAGTGTAAAATGTTTGTCCATTGAATGTTCTTTCACCTTTTATTCTCTGAACTAGTGTCAAATTTGTGTGTTTTTGACATTTAGACATCACCTGCTTCACCGTTTTGTAAAAGGAACTTAAATTTCCACAATTTAAATGTCCATTTTGTTCAAGTCGGTGTACTTTTTGAAGTAGCTGTTATCATAACCAAAACTTTACTACAAACATTTGTGTGTTAGAAAAAAATAAAATTAGTTTCAAGTATTCCTCACGGATAACTGTATTCCTTAAATGGATAGTTCTTCCCAAACTCATTTACTCATGTCATTCCAATCCTGTATGATTTTCTTTGTTTTGTGGAAGTCCAAAGGAGATATTTAGCAGAATGTCAGAGCTGCTCTCTTCCATACAGTGCCAGTGAATAGGGACCAGCTGGTTTCCAGCTCCAAAATGCCAAACAAAGTATCACTAAAATAGTCTGTTCATTTCAACATTGTCAATATTTACTGAAAATCCTGACAGCTACACTCAACTTTTATTTTATGAAAAAGAGCAGCTTGGACATTCTGCTCTAAATAGCTCCTTTTCTGCTCCACAGAAGAAAGTAAGACATAAAGGTTTTGAAAGAGTTGGGGGTGAGTAAATGATTTTCATTTTAGGTGAACTATCTGTTTAAGAGCCCCATCATTGACTTGTCAGTGAAGTGATATTTGGCTTGGGTTTTTGTTCAGCTTAAGACTCGGCTGACTGAGACGTTGTGTAAGCTTGAGACGGAGGAGAGTGAGCGACAGAAAGTGGCTGGAGATCTTTATAAGGTAAAGCTCGTGATGCAGGAGGATCTTTCTGTTAAACCATCCACATTTTAAAACACTGAAGTGGTTAAGAAGCTTGTTATCTATTAAGTTATTTTCTTTCTCTCATTGTATGTTGTGTCACCTGGTCACAGGCCCAGCAGTCTCTGGAGTTGATTCAGGCAGAGATCATTAAAGAAGCAGGCCAAGCTGACCTGATAGAGACCAGCAGCCTCACGCAAATGGTGAGAAGTTTGTTAGCTTTTAAATGATAAAACCATGATTACAAAACTATACTATTTAACATGTGTGGACAGTTTTTGGTTGTCAGATGTGAGTGGGTTAATGAGATGAACTACACCAGTAGTTACTGTACTAGGACACCTGTGTGAATTTGAGGAGAACCGACTTGAAACACTTTATAATGATCATAAATTTAAATACCACTATTTTATAGGGGTGTGTGTGTGTGTGTGTGTGTATACACAGTACTGTTGAAAATTCATAGGCATTAGTATTCACATCAACAACAAAAAAAAGGTTTTAAGCCAGTAATTTCTATCTTCTGCTGTAGTGTATCAGTAGGAAATATCAGTTTACATTTCTTTTGCCATTAATTGTAATAATCCAGTTAGATTCTTGTATACACAAGGAGTGTGACAACAGCCAGTGCTCCACACTGATCTCACCATCATCCAGTCTGTCAGTGATTACATGAAGAATTGGCAACATCTCCAAGACACTTGAAGAAAAGTTGGTGTAAATACTAATGGCCTAAGACTTTTGCACAATACTATATATATATACACATTGAGGAAAATGACATTCAACAAGTTTATTGCAAAATGGCTGAGAAGAGCGAACTGTATTGTGCAATGATTTATAGTAAACTACAAGGAAATCCATTTACCAGTGCTGTCACAATTAGCGCATTAACGCAGGTGGTTAAGTTAACGCGTTACAAATATTTAACGCAGGGGTGGAGCTAGGGTTGGCCACCCCACTCACAACTGCAGCTTCGGTCTCTTCTTGACAAGAATTGCATTCATTTAGACTCAGAACGTCTTTACGATCACAACAAATGGGAGACTTTACAGATACTCACTCCAACTTCACCTCAGCACCAGGCGCGAGTCAAACGAGCTTGGAAAAGGTACAGGTGACGAGGGAGCTTCAGTAGAACAACAGTGAAATGCGGCCAGATGAGATGTTGTCAGGCCTTACAGTGTCAGTAAAAACCAATTTTCTTGTCCTGTCAGCCGTTATACTGTGCTCATAGCACGTGCTCTTCAATTGCACACACAAATGCGGCAGCGCGTGCTGTAGTCTGTATCATTTCATACCAAAGCGCGAAAGAAACTACGAGCATGCAGTGTCATAGTTATGTCGTCAGTTAAGTTGCCAAAAAGGCGATTAAAGCTGCCTTAAAACTGTGCATGTTATGTAAGTATTTGTTATATATAAGTAAGATTTATGAACAAGTCTCTGAAATGGTTTTCAAAACTGTCCTGGAGCAGCCCAGCACTGTTTCCCTCATCTAACACACCTGATTCAACTCGTCAGCTCATTAGTAGAGACTTTAAGACCTGAAGTGGGTCAGAAAAGGTAAAGAGTTGTGAGAAAATATGATGCGTGTCAGATCCGCGTCATGTTCAGCAGCGGCAGCTCTTAACCCAGCTGCTGTTATGACTGTTAATCAAAAAAATTACAAATAAATAAATAAAAAGAGGAAATCAGTAACTTTTGTAGCTTTAAAGATGAATCTTTATTTAAATTAGAATTTAGTGTTTGATAACTTTATTCAATTTCTGTATGTTTCCTACACAGGAATATGACATTTATTATAATGGGTTTACGTGAAGATTGTTTTAAGTTCATTTAAATTAGAAATTGTTATTTTATAAAGTGTAATAAATGTTCAAATTGATAGCTCTTAAGTATACTGTAATGTTGTATGGCTATAGTCAGTGTTTAAATATTAGGGGAAAAAACTATTTCATAGAGACATCAGTAGTAGTATTATTAGTATCAGTGATATTTGCCTTGAGTCATAAAAAAAAGATGCCATTAAACAAATATTAAAAATATACTGTCTTTGTTGTTTATACATTAATTTGAAGATTAAATGTGAAATTATTGCCACATAAAAGTATATTTAAAAACTTAGGTGGGATTAATCGTGATTGATTTCAGAAAAAATGATTAATTTGTTAAATTTTTTTAATCGATTGACAGCACTACCATAAACATTTCATGTAACAAAAAAATTAAAAATTCAGCAAGTTTACAAGGCAACATTTATCATTTTAATCAGGTTTAACTTGATGTACTATAGCTAAAAGGGACATTTAAATTAATATTAATAAAAACTCTATAGACTAAATAAAATATATAACTAAATACAATATATAATAAAACTATACATACTTTACAACTATATAAAACCGAAAACCGGAACGAAAATTTAAATGAAAATAGACAAATATTAATAAAAACTAAGAATCTCAGTGATACTAAAACACTGCAAGTGTGGTCATTGATTTTAGCCTTTGGGAAATTGTGACATTTTAAAAATGTCTGGCCGGCTTGTGCAATCTTTTGACTCATGTTCTTAGGAGGAGATTGACCGTAAGGAGAAGATGACTGCAGGGTTGAATCAGACAGTACAGGAACTACAAGAACTACTTCAGTCTATCAACAGACAGCTTACCAAGGGAAATGAAAGGGTAGGTTCCTTTATTCTTTCCTGAACTGTATTCTAGTTTTGTGTTTCCTAGATCAAGTCACTGTAGTTAAAAAGATCAAAATAAATACAACCAATATTATACATTTTACACTTGGCTTTTAACCAGCTTTGCCTATGTACATAATGTAAAAAAAAAAAAAAAAAAACGAATATTAATTAATGACAGAATTTTCATTTTTGGGTGAACCGTTACTTTAAGGTGAATTTAGCTTCTATATAAAGTTTTAAAAAATATCACAATTATACATTATTATAAAAATATTTTATATTAATTTATCATTTTAATCATTTATATATGGAGACTTAAAGGGGTAGTTCCCAAAAATTTAAATTGTTATTTCTTGCTATTTTTGTTTTCTTTGCGCACGGAAAGTATTCTCGTAGCTTCGTAAAATTACGGTTGAACCACTGATGTCACATGGACTATTTTAACGATGTCCTCACTGCGTTTCTGGGCTTTGAACGTGATAGTTGCCTTGCTGTCTATGGAGTGTCAGAAAGCTCTCGGATTTCATCAAAAATATCTTAATTTGTGTTCTGAAGATGAATGAATGACTTACTGGTTTGGATCGACACGAGGGTGAGTAATTAATGACAGAATTTTCATTTTTGGGTGAACCGTTACTTTAAGGTGAATTTAGCTTCTATATAAAGTTTTAAAAAATATCACAATTATACATTATTATAAAAATATTTATTATTTTTATTTTTAAATAAGTCTCATTCTCACCAAGGCTGCAATTATTAATGATTACGATTTCACTTTATTGTCAGACAAAGTGAAATTTGTTTTGCGGTACAGCAAGTTCACTCACAATTGCAGAACATTATCGCGTGGCCAAGAGACAGACCAGACATACAATCACAAGAAAAAGGAAAAAACACTTTTCAAGGCTCTGGTAAGGATTTAAGTTTTGTGTAACTTATTCAGCTCTAATATAGCTTGGTGTACAACAGAATACTTTAGTCTAATTCGATTATATCTCGGAACCTTATCGATTAGATGGCAACTATTCAAATTATTCAAATACAATAAGAACAGTAATATTGTGAAATATTACAATTTTAAATAACTTCTATTTTATTATATTTTTAAAATGTAGGCCTAGTTGATTCCTGTGATGCAAAGCTGAGTTTTCAGCATCATTACTCCAGTCTGTAGTGTCAGAAAAAGCATTGATTTGAAAAATATATATTTTAAACAATGTAAAACTATAGTGTCAGCTAATGCATCCTTGCTGAGTCAAAGTATTAATTTATTTAAAATAATCTTACTAATCACCCAAAACCACTGCCAAAAATTTTGTATAAGAGTAGTGTATATATTTATTTTTAAGCATTTAGCTTTGAATGGGATTTTTGCATTATTTACATTATTGCATAAATGAGTTTTAATTTGAGTAGTTTTGATTTTCTGGTTATAGTTTTCAGAAAATGAACTTGTAATGATTTGTTGGCTACAGCAGGGGGCAGTCATAATTTAATAAATGTCTTAATAGCAGTCATCTGGAAGGGAATCTCGATAGAAAGAACATTAATTTTATTTCATAATAATGTGATTCCAAAATTCCCATCATTTCTCACTCACAATTGCAGAACATTATCGCGTGGCCAAGAGACAGACCAGACTTATACAATCACAAGAAAAATAAAAAGAAAGGAAAAAACACTTTTCAAGGCTCTGGTAAGGATTTAAGTTTTGTGTAACTTATTCAGCTCTAATATAGCTTGGTGTACAACAGAATACTTTAAGTCTAATTCGATTATATCTCGGAACCTTATACCGTCGATTAGATGGCAACAATACAAATTATTCAAATTATTCAAATACAATAAGAACAGTAATATTGTGAAATATTACAATTTTAAATAACTTTTCTATTTTATTATATTTTTAAAATGTAGGCCTAGTTGATTCCTGTGATGCAAAGCTGAGTTTTCAGCATCATTACTCCAGTCTGTAGTGTCAGAAAAAGAACAGCATTGATTTGAAAAATATATTTTTTTAAACAATGTAAAACTATAGTGTCAGCTAATGCATCCTTGCTGAGTCAAAGTATTAATTTATTTAAAATAATCTTACTAATCACCCAAAACCACTGCCAAGAATTTTGTATAAGAGTAGTGTATATATTTATTTTTAAGCATTTAGCTTTGAATGGGATTTTTGCATTATTTGCATTATTGCATAAATGAGTTTTAATTTGAGTAGTTTTGATTTTCTGGTTATAGTTTTCAGAAAATGAACTTGTAATGATTTGTTGGCTACAGCAGGGGGCAGTCATAATTTAATGTCTTAATAGCAGTCATCTGGAAGGGAATCTCGATAGAAAGAACATTAATTTTCTTTCATAATAATGTGATTCCAAAATTTCCATAATTTCTCCTGATGAAGCTCATTCTCTATGAAATACGAAAACAGACCTATAGTGGTTATTTCAGACTTCATTACAAGAACGGAATGCAGTTATTTTTTAAATGATCAATTATTTATAATTAGAAGCTACTTAATCACTCTCATATAAGCCAAACCAAGTAGACTTAAAATTTTTCTTCCCAATGGAACATAAAAATGTGAGTTATTTAGCAGAATGTCCATGCTGCTCTTTTACAATTTAAGAACCTGGTAACCGATTGCAAAGTGAGAGTGGTGCATTTTTATTTTTCAGGTGAACTGCCCCTTTAAATGAATCACGTCTGATGAACACAGAGCGTGACATTACTCCTCTGACCTGAAGCAATAACTTACATGAGTCAACGTCCTCAAAGATATTCTTGAAGCTCTCACAGTCTGATAGACTTACACAGGTTGAGTTATAACTACATAATTGACCGACTCTGCTGTCGTAGAAAGAGTCACTGTGAGTTCGAACTGTTAGTCATACACATTCTTAACTTTCATAAATGTAACTGGTGACTGGTGAGTTCTTCAGCACTAGGGATCCACTAAAATCCACCCAAAAACAGCATAACAATGGCATAACAACGCCCTGACAACCACCCACAAAATAAACTAGCATTGCAATGTTGTCGTCAGATCATCCTGAGTAGTGTTTATGCATTATGAAAGAAAAATAAATTATGATTTGGTCCAGATCTTGACTCTAAGTTGCGCAATCATTCTGTCATGCGTCATGCCCATAATTTCTCTGTTGTATATGCAGTTATATTCTCATAGTACAAAGATCTAAACCAGACACATGCCTTTCAGGAACAGCAAGTCTTTGCATCTACTATCCATCAAGATGGAATGAGCGAGTGAGCATTTGATCTTTCATCCAGGCACGTGTGTAGAGGGGTTGACTGTAATTCATAAAAAAACTCATGTGCTCATAGGATGCTGTCAGCATGTTGGCAAAATTGAGAAATATTTAAGTCATTGACACAGCATTGTTATTCATCAACATACTAAGCAAAATGTTGTGTTCTTGTGTTTGTTTACTCAGAAGTGGCATAATGTAAGAACAATAGAAGCGTTTTTTTTGAACGCGCCTACCATGCAACTAACTGATTAAAACGAGATTAGTGTTGCAGTAATTAATTACAAGGTCTGGGATGTTCTAAATAGATGTCAGGGAGTATCTGTTACCTGTCACCAGCTCTGGACTCCATACCCCAGAATCCTCCTCGGCTCACACCAGTTCACAGTCACAATCACCAATCTCACCAGATCACACTCACCTGGATTCTAATCATCTGCACCTGCCGCCACCAATCAAGCCACCTTCAAAAGCATGCTCCTTTCAGTCACTCACCATCCGATCTATACGGTTCACTACAGCAAGCTAACCAGATGCCATTTGGTTATTTACCTGTTGTTTCTACTTATGGCTAGTGTTGCTTGCATTCCAGCGATCCTGTCCCTGGTTGATCCCGTTCATTCCCCAGACTCCTGCAACAAAGCAGACTCCAAGGACCCAGAGTTAAGAACCCTCAAACTCTCTTGTTCTCACGATTTACCTGCCATCTGTCTTCGTTGCCAGCCTCAGTCAATAAACCACCTGTGCACCTTCTATATATGTTATTATTTAAAAGCTGCTTGTGATGGGCTTTGGTTCATCATGTGACTTTCTCATCACCACCTGCATTTGGTGGTTATCAGTGTATTACAAAGGAACAAAACAGATTTCAGTACTTCAATAAAGTTGGTATATTAACATTATATCAGTTAATGAAATTACGGTATTTAACTGTAAATTTAAGTTAAAACCGTAAAACCTAAAACGTTGCTACTGTATTTTTTACGGTAAAATTCCGGCAACCACAGATGCTGTTTTTTTTACCGTAATTTTTACAGATTTTTTATTTTTTTAGAGTGCATGTATGTCCAAAAAGCGTGCAGTCTCCCCTTCTAATTAGTGTCTTTCTGCTATTCCAGTCATTTTTTGTGTGGATATCTCAATGCTACAGCTACACCATACAATGACATGACACTCCAGAGCAGTGGTTTTTAAAATGTGGGTCGCAGAGTGGAAATAACTGGGCATTGCAAATATAAGAATGGTGGTGCATAAGGTGTTAAAGTTTGTTGGTGGGTATAATATTTACATGTTTGAATCAACATGTGACTCACGTACTGAATGAATCATTACTTCAATTTAGCCATTAGGCTGCTTGCTTTGCCACCATGAAAGCAAAATAATACAATGAATTATTAATAATACAAATAATAATACAATAGAACGGATATGTAGGCCTAACCAATGTGGAAATAGGAAAAATATAAAAGTTAACTAAAAGAGAACAGATGCTTTTTTTCCCTGTATATATATTTTTTTTTTTCTATGAAAGGTTGATGAGGTTCGAGATTGATTATCTCTTTAGGTGGCACCTAGTATTAAAAAATGTATTCCTCCTAAATAGAGAATTGAGAGCTTTCCAATTCATTGTTGTCAGTACTCTGAGATACAGTACCACAGTTTCCTCTGTTGCATAAATTGCATTTTTTCAAATGTTTTACATACTACGCGCAGTATACCCTTGTGAAAAAGAAGTGTGCTTAAATGTGCACTTGTAGTG